GCTCAATAGATACTGAAAGAAACACGATTTATGCAACATTGCTAAGAAATGCACCCCTGGAGTCAAAAGTTTGCTTTCTGCACTGCTGTTTTTTGGCAAAACTGGGACAGATTTAATCAGTTAGTCACTAGTGAATACATCTAGTCCTAGACAGACGTTATTGAATTGTACTGCACTGTACATCAAGCACAGTTTTGTTCAAAATTGCAGCTACAGAAAATCTAACATCACTGCTATCTTTTTTTTTTACCTTAACCTGCTGTTATGGAGGAGTGCACTGTTAAGATAAAACTGCTGGGGACTGAGTGTGCTTTTATGGTATTGTGAAATAGTAGAGACAGACAGATTGGGACCAAGACAACATTTTATCTCCTGATCACACAAAGTATGCTCAGGTATTTTAGGAGATTTACATTCTTCATGCTCATCACATTTTTGCATACTTTTAATTTAGTTTAATTTAGTATTATCGAGGTTAGATTTACTGGTAAAATCACCTGTATATCAGAAAAAAACAATAGCATTTACATAAATGGGAACACACCTCACAAATCAAGGAACCACTCCGATGCTGCATTCGTTTCACTGTGAAGATAAAGGTTTTCGCCGAAACTGATGTTTATTTCTATTGAGAAAGATCCAAGAAGTGAAAAGGAAAAATACTATGGCATTTGAATCTGAAGAGAGACTATTCCTGACAATTCAAATTCACATTTCCCTGCGGTGATAATCCTCATTAACAGACCTATTATAATGTGCTTAATTTGCTCTGCCAGTGAAGTCATGCTGTCTTTCAATCAGGACAATGCAGATTAGCACAGACGATTCTAGTATTTTTGTAGGTACATGAATAATGCTTTGGTAGCGCTTTAAGTTTAAAGCTCAAGCTTCTGTCAGCTAGAACAGGATAAATTCAGTTTGTGCCATTAAACACAGGTGAAAAACTTGATCATTTTTGATTAAAAATACATCACAACCTTCAGTAGCTATTGAGTACTGTATATTGTGAGTCCAACGATGAGCAGTAGATAAAGTTCAGATTGACTATATATTTGCACATAGACAACAGCTTATTTTCCTGGTCTCTGGCTGTGGCTACCTGGCACCATAGTAATTTAAGCTGCAGGCAAAAAGCTTTTACTTAAATTACTATTTTTAAGCCTCCATGCTCTCATTACAGATATAGCTATAACTAGATTTTTAAAAAAAATATTGTGTACAATTATGGCACTGCTACAGAAAGATACTGCTGCTCAGGAATCAGTCCAGAGAACAGCAGAGAGATACAGTCAGGGGTCTGAGGTACTGTAGTGTCCTACACTGACAGGCTGAAGGAGCTGAACCCTGCTAGTCTTGAACAGGAAAGACGAAATGAGTTTAAATCAACTCAGAATGACATTCTTCGGCGTGAGCATTGAAACATGATCCAGCAGACACAAGTGAAAACTGCGTTGAAGTGCGTTTAGAATAGGAGACACATCTGTGCCCAAAGTGTGGTGGGAGTGTGGACTGTTCAGCCATGTTTCTGTGGGCGATTCCTGGATGAGATCCTGAGATCAGTGAGCCACCAGCTCCCGAACAGGCCACATGAGCCAAACTGCCTCCTCTAGTATGAATCCTTTCTGAAGTTCTTATGTGTCTACAGTATCACTTACCATACAATGGCAGCCTGATAGTTTGCCTTCAGACTAAACTATGTATTGCTTCTGCTAAATTTTACTTTAGATCCAACTGCACCAATTGAGATTCATACAGACTTGTCTGCGTTTTAACTTGTGACTCATTTCACTGCACATCTGTCCTGGGTTTTTCAAAATCTGCGTTGTGTTCTTGGCCTTCGGTTGACCTGTGTGCCAGAGAATTGTCCTAAACGGCAGTTAAGCACCTCAATGGGTCTTAAAGACAATGGCAAAATTTACAATCTATAAACTTCTCAGCACAGATTGTTGTCTTGAATCATATCATTAAAATTCCGCTTTTATCTTGCATTCAAAGAAGTCCCTGTGTTTAAAGTCTAGGTGTTTTGAAAACAGGGCATTCCAGGCCTTCATGGAGACACTGTGCAGCGCCGTTAAAGATTTAGTGTTGTTGTGAATCCTTTGCTTTGTTTAAAAGTGACTCTCAACAAGTTGCAAATACTGGCAGTTCACATTTCTTCGGAATTTCGAATGCTATGTGGGTGTTTGCCTAATCTTAGCCAGCGCCTGTGGATTAAATCCAGGTCAGAGGTTGAGGTCAGCTGTTGAGCCTAATGTCAAGTGTCAAAGAAAGCCCCAGCACTCCCTGTGGACTTTACTTTCAATCTACTTTAAACGCTTTATTAGTAAATATATATTTTTTTCTTTTCACAAAAGTTTTTTTTTTATTTCACCTTGCAACAGGATGTCTTGAATTCCTGTTACACAACAGTAATCATTAAGGAAATGGGTTCAATAGTCTAGTCATGGGAAAAACAGAATCTCTCCCAGTTCTGACCAACATCTGTATGTTAGTAGTCTTGACACAGTCACACCAATATTTTTAACCCCCAGTATTTTTTGGGGGGGATCTGAACTATGGAGAGGACTACACGAAAGGATATGTTCTCCCGTTCTGTAGAGTCTTGTACCCTATGCTCAGCATTGGTATTAAGCATGCAGGAAGTCCTCAGCTACGTTGCATGTGCACTTTTTTATTGCCGAGCAGTTAAAAGCAGGCTAAGCGATATCTGAAATCAGTGTGGCCAAAGTGTCCAGATTTTGAATGAAGTCTATAGCCACCTAGGTCTTGACAAGAGAAGAGAGATATTTATCCTTCTGTTCCACATGGTTTGAGCTCTTTAAGTGAGATGCTCCAAATTTGGATGCACATTATCATCAATAATTGGATCAAACTGCTTTTCCAATCTCTTGTCCTTTCTACATTCCATTGCGTTTCACGCGCATGCAGTTCAATTCCACAGTGCGCTCAAGTGTGTCAGGTGAAGTGAGCCCCTTGTTCAACTGCTGCCTTTACGTCACTCAGGTTTGCCTAAGATGTGGGATCTTTCAGGCGTTGCCACAGGTTGATGATCCATATGGATTCAAACCTGTTCAAAACCAGCGAGTACGGACATCTGTCAGTGCTTTATGAACTTCAGACATTATTCAAATGTTTATGTGTGCAGTCATGGAAGACTTCCTACAGTTATTCAGAATGAGTGCTTTTTCTTTCGTGCTGTGTAATATGGATATAAAAATCACATACAGTATGCCTGACTTTCACTTCACAACACAGCCATAAAGCGTCTTGTATTGATGCACACAAGACTAAACTGCAAATTAAACTGAATTATCAATACAATTCTGAAACCAGAGATTTTATTTACAACTCTCTGCAAATCTCAATGAAAACGCCAGTGTAAATCTAAGAAAATTGCGAACAATAACTGATTGTTAAATATTTGTGATGTCTTTCATTTATCAAACTTTATTTTAAAAAGTAATAGAAAAGAGGTATGTTGTTTTAACCTTATGATTCCAGAATAATATTTTAAAAAACAGGTTAAAATTGTTCAAGACATTCTGAGGCAAAACACATTGTCAAGTTCCAAAAAGATGCAATATATTTTAAGTGATTTTTTACTATTTTAAAGAAACTTGACAGGCAAAGCTATAGTGTATTAATGTTTAATAAATGTATACCTAAATACCTTTGACATCTACATTATAACATTTTTTCCAGTATTTTCTTACAGTTATCAGAATTATGTCTGTGCATACCTATAATAAAGCATTATTAAATCCAAAAATTAATCAGCTCAGGCCCAGTCAACATTGCCAAGAGTTAAACATACATTTTTAGGAGAGGAAATATGTGAAAAATGCTTTCTGATATTTTTTATCATTGCTTTTGAATGTTTCCAAGGCTAAGGAATAAATGAGACATGTTTGTGCCAAGAGCTGAGGTCAGTTATTCTCTTTACAGACTCAAGAAAAAAACACAAAACAGGAATGGAATTAATTGAATTATCCTCAATTGCCCCAAAGGGAACTCATCTTGCACATCAAGAGCTCATAAACATATAACAGATACGACATAGGTACAATACAACAACACTACGATACCATGATACAAAACAACATCACTCAATCACAACTCTAAGACATCAGACTATAAAATATCACTTATCATTTTCGGCAGTGGGTTAACTAAATTTAGTTCCATGGTGATGAGGGTGTGAGAGTCAGTTAGATATGTTTAATAGCATGAAATTATTCTGATGAGAAGGATGAAACAAAACAGTTGCAGTGAAAGTTCAGAAATTGAATTTATAGTTTTTACTGGAACAAACACAGCATTGGTGAGCGCCAAACTTGTAAACATCTGAAATGTCTTATTCACTGAACAAACAAAATGTAAGGCTTGAAGTGTGTGTTTCCAATGCCTGTAATGTAGAGAAGAAACGTTCTTTCGGATTATAATGCAATCATATCATCTGTTTTAAGGGAGATGCAAAACGTAAAATTAAAATGTTTCCTTGATAACACCGCATTATACTTGAATTGTAAAAAAAGGTACCATTGAGTGAAATCCGATGCTTTTGCACAGCCTGCACTATAATATCCATAGACAATGAGACAATGAATTCCATGATGGAACAGTTCTGGGTATATAGCTGAACCTTTGAAGAATTCCCTTGTTTAATCTATAATGGTGTTTTGCAAAAAATGTTCTTTGCCTGTTTCCTATGAAAATACTAAACAAACATAACACTGACTAACACTTAAGTAATGTGAAAAGAACGTAGGTGACTGTGAGGTCAGGAATCCAAAAATTGCAGTATGATACTACGTGTATTTCACAACACTGCATTTCGCTGTTGACCAATAATTGAAATTGCAGTCACCTGCCTATTGTCAAGCATACTTTGATGCAAACAAAGCACACAAAATGAATTTCATAGTGATGATTATTATCAATGAAATACGGAGTCATCATGAAAGACTGTTTTACAGCTATTTTTTCCTTCTTTCTTGTAGATAATGCCTGCAATTTCAGAGAAGGAGAAAGCTGGTGAGTTCAGACAATTTAAATCAACCTACAGTGTCTTGAAGATGTAATCATACTTCGATCCCTAAACTTAACTGTTTATTTTTTGTGGACACTAAAATGAATGCAAAGTGCTGAGAGGGCAATGCCTCGGGCTTAGCATCATTTTGCCTATTACTGCTTTGCAGATTTTGTGCAAATATCAGTTTGATGCTGGTTATAAATATACCCTGATGTGGAAAATCCAACATATACACATAAAGCTTTAGTGATACTGTAGGCAGGAAGTAGGTGAGCATGTGCAGTGCGAGGAAAAAAGCTCAGATTTCATTTTGTAATGAACACTAGGGAAATAACAGAGACTATTTCCATGAAGCATTGCTGCCCCAGGTTAATCATTACGAGCTATCTGTTTGTTTCCAGGGGTTATGAACTCTGGGCTTCAGAGATGCACATTTTCAAAGTCTAGCACCGAATTATACCACATAGATGTCTATATTAATGTGAGGATTTCTAAAAATTGTAAATGGCTTATAGTTTAGTTCATAGTAGAGAATATGCATTAAAATGTCTAAGCAAAAAAAGGGCAACTCAAAGAAATTACTGCATCGAATTAAGAAAACAATTATAGATTTGTGTAGATTGTATGAAACAAGTTTAAGTTCTAAAAATATTTTTAGAAATCAGATAATATCATTTTTAGGTATTTAAACATTATTCCAGACGTGCGGTTGTCAGATGTTTATCTTCCGTTGACTGGTGTCTGAACATAAATACAGCAGTTTCTAAATACTGTATGCAGAGGTCAAAGGGCAGGGCATGCATTCAGGGGGCAGGTCGTCTGCCTTGAGGGGCCACAATGCCCTTAACAGCATAGCTGATAAAGCACAGGGACCGATGCATGTTTAGATAAACTTCAAATGCCTGAGCAGTAAGGAACTCTAGAAAACACTCATCTGAAAATCACAGATAAACCCTGTTTAGCTTCTGCTGAACCTTCCACTCCTGAGCAGCACCTATCCTGTCACCAGGATCTGCCTCACACACTCCACCATTCAGTGTGCACAATCAGCTTTGTACTGCAACTCAGGCAAGGCCAACACAGCTGGGCCACATACCCAGTATAAACGCATCTATTCTGAATCTTGCTACTGTAGTTGAGTTTATTGAAAATATCAGAAAGTTGTTCTCCGTTGCCTCTTGATAACCCTCAGTCCTTGTTTTTGTTACACAATCATTCAGCCCCTATAATTAAGAAACCTGTAATCTTCTAAACCCATTTGAAAAAAAAAATGCTCGTAGCATGTCATATTCATTCCAAGGCATGAAACAGACATCTTTAAAAAATCTTCAGTAATTCTCCGATATCAGGTTCAAGAAAATTACTCTCTCACAAGCTTAAATTCCAATCATGTAAGACTTGTAAATTTTAAATATATTTTTTTAACTTAACCTCCAAAACTGGCAGCTGTTTTTAATTGTTTGAACCTTCACTGTTCCTTCATGAAGGTCTTAAAATAAAATGAAAGGAAATCTCCAGGAGATTTCCTGCTCAGACTGAAATGGGCTGTTGTTTCTGGCAGTAAAAAGATTCCCTCTTGCCTACTGACATGTCTTTAGTGTCGAAAAGTTGGGAAGCAGGTCAGAGAGTCAGACCAACCTTAAAAACTAATGGATCACAGCAGGGCAAAGTTTAAAGCTCCTACAGATACAGGCTGATGTATCTGCACACAAGGGGCATCAAAGTCCCAGTCTGATGAATCAGCTGGAGACTTTCGGTTTTCACTCTTAATTACACGTCTCCTTGAATGCTTTCTACATACAAGACATCCTGTATGTCTCATGCTGGGTTGAAAGACATATGCTGATCAGACATCCATCCTATTATTTTCGGCGTTAAAGGCAGATGTTAGTGAGCAGCCGCCATCAATTTGCCAGTTCCAGAATATTTACCCTCTCAGTCACAGGCAGACTGAAAGTGCGAAAACACTGCAATATACAGTACATGCACGTTCTTCTGCTTCCCAAAGCATTTCTTAATGCCACTAATAGCTCTCAAATGTTGTCAGTGTGCTTCATATTTTAATATATTATTAATCATGGTTATACAATGAGATTAGTCAAATCAGCAGGAAATTATCACTTATCCTGGTGCAAGTCTAATGTCCTACTGCTTGTAAAAAACAGTGGGAGGGTTGAAATTCACCACATTTCCTTAGAATCTAAGTGAATACATAAATACAGTTCAAAGCAAACACAGTAAACCTTAACAACTCCAAACCTGCTTGGTCTACAGGGTATAAAACAGTCTTGGACCCTGCCTCAAAAATGTGGAATAATCTTCTTAGTAACATCAAAGTCTTCCCTTATCTCAACATCTGCATTCAAAGAGTACCATAGATACTGCAGTACTTAGATACCATGCCTAGGAAAAGCCTTTTATCTGAATTAATCTGTGATTTAAAGTTGAATGATTCGGCATCTTCAGGTTGATACATGTGCATACACAAGAAGCTTGTAAAGTCCTTTTTTAAGCTATCTTTTTTTGTTTGCTTTTCTGGATATATATTTCACTTTTAAATTTAAGAGGAATTGTTGGAAGTAAAAACTAAGCTTATCTACATGGTGTTTTAAATATAATGAAACTGTTTAGTTCATGTATTTAACTTTTAAGTTTTTAAGAAGATGAAAAATACATTCTCTTTTCCAAGCTAAATCCAACAAATGCTCTGGACATGTATCGGCACTACTGTACTCTTGTTGCCCATATATTCCTTCAATACTGTGGTCAATCAATTGCCTGTAATCTGTTGACAGGAGCAGAATTACAGTTTGGCCTCAAGCAAAGGTGTCTAATGTGAGTCTTGCCACAGGGCTGATAACTGTGAAACTGTGTTGGCTACATGGAGTGCACTGAAACAGTCAGCAGCTGTAGGTAGAAAAAAATCACTGGTCTCCTGTAATGAACATCCCTTTCTGCTGTATGACTCAGTCATTGTGGTGAGAGTACAATGGTGTTTTCTTTGACGAACAAGCACGATTAGAATTCGCCATTGAATTCTAGTACGAGCGGAACGTGGAAAGTAAAATTAATTACACTGAAGTCAATTAGCAGCCCCGGAGCTCTCAGGCACTACGGTGAATGCAGTACCTTATCTGAACCCTGGGCCCTTTTCCTATTCCTTTCCCGCAGCACAGATCTCTTTGATGTGTGATCAGTCATGCCTGTTCGCATTCCTCCGGACTTCTCCAGGCCTGGCTAACAGGCCCCGGAACAATGAGCTCTTGGTTGCATTCACCTGCACCTGAGAGGCCAGGCCTTTCACTTGCATGGAAGATGAAAGCACTCCTGTCACTAAAGTGTTTCAGGATATTAACACTGTGACCTGACAAACACGCTTGTCATTTCCTGACTGCTGTCCAGGAATACAGGAACCTTCTGTCACTGCAGAGCTGCCCACTGTGGAAAAAAGAAGGAAGGAGTATGATCAACGCAAATCTTAACGATCCCAAATGAAAATATTCTTTAGAAATCCACAAGCAGTCAAGGTAAAACACCAGTTATATTTTCAGTAAGGACTAGTGCACCATGTGTCTGAATAAATGTCACAGCAGACACCAAGACATTAATTGTATGTTGTTGATAGAATTTGTTATTATCCTAATGTATTCATACTGTATTTGGTTCTTTTGCTATCATTATCAGCACACCATTGTCCTGGTGTTTAGGCCTTCATAAATGGAGTGGTCTGTACCTAAACAAAGCTCATACAAGCTTTCTGTAGATTTTCTATTATGAAATATCATATTTCTCATTATATTAAACCCAGTTTAAGGGTCTGATAAAATGTTATGCTATCAAATATGAATTGTACGCCTCTTCAAAAAAAGTTCTATATTTTCTTTCATACAACATAACAAGCAGTTCGAAATGTGTGGATAAATGAGGCAACTGACATTCTGTGATGAAAATCTTGGTGCACTTAGTAAAGGGATTGTACCAGTACTCTGTATGTGTGTGTAAAAGGACACAGTATATACAAAAGGTGCTCAGCCATTTTATCCATAAGAAACGTCTATGCCGGTCAACATTTCTTTGCCACATTAGTACCTTGTCAGTTCCACTACGAACATGAGGCTTTTGTGAAAGTGAGCTCATGAGCAATGTATTGAGCTCAAGCTGTGTTTAATCATGTCATCAAACTTCAAAAGGCACAGTACATCTGCGCTTCAGAAAATCACTGTGACCTGGCATCTGCTTGTCCAGGTATAAATAAGACATTTGGTGAGGGGACAGCACTCCCAGCTGTCCCCTCACCAAAGCTGTGACCAGAACCAGGAACGATACCATATCTATAGGGGTATAGCTACTCTCCTCCAATCCTGATGTTGATTTCCCACTTTTCAGCAGACCTGCTCTGTGCACTCAAGATAAGTCCTTGGGCTGTTATCTGTTCATCGCTTGCTAAGCAACAGCTACCTAGCAATTTTATCAACCTTGACAACAAAGCTGGATAACTGACATATTTATCATGTCATATTAAAACAAATATTAACATTCCGGATGTACAAAATGCAAGCAGGTCTCTGGGATTTTTTGCCCACTGGCTTCTGTTTTGAAATGCATTCCCGTGAATTGCAGCAATTGTTAGTGTCTATCAGTGCCCAGAAACTTTCCCATAGAATAACAACATGCAGCTGGGCTGTGTTTTTGAATTTCTCCCCTGTTCTCCCCGATGTGTCTGATGCATGTAAAACTTCACTGTTCCTCACGTGTTTTTCACATTTTCTGTTGTGTTCATTGCTCATCCCTTCCTCATTTTCACAAACAGTTCTCAAATGTGCTTCTGTAAAGAATTCTGAATTATCTGTCCGTGGCCTGGCTGCATTTCACTGTACACACACCATCATCAGGCTTAATTGGCTTGACTTAATTCCCCCTCTCTCTCGCTCGTATGGTCAGCTTGTAGCTTGTGGGCTTTAGTTTTTGAGCTAGAGCTGACTTGCACAGAGACCGCATGGCT